ATGCAAATGGCGAGGTGTATTCTAAAGGCTCCAAGAAACACACCCCGTTCTACCCTTTACGGAGAATCCGGATGGTCCCCCATCATCGACTCCCAGAACATCTTCAGACTAAACTATATCGATCTAATAAAATGATCTTTTAAATGTTGTCCTATGTTACCTTTACTGTGCATAATCATTTCTTATTTAAAATAGAATTATTTAATCAATCAGTATATTGTGTTTTTTTTTTAATGAAATTAATGATTTTCTTAAAAAAGATGCTACCCAAGGCGAGACTTTTTTTATACCTTGTTTGACAAATTCGCTGATTATTGTACATTTTACTGTACTGTTTTTCCGTTTTAAAATGTTTGTGCTCATTCGCAATTTAGATTAATTGTTGATGTTATCCATGACAGTAATACGTACCGCGAAATTCCAGGCCTCTGAAAGTCTCCATAGTTGGTATTCGCCACGTTATTGGAAATTTTTATTTCAAATTTCGCGAAAATGGTTTATAACATTCCCTGCAAGTTTGTCGTTCATAACTGGTGCCGAATCAATGTTTTAGAGCGACCCATCAGAGCCATTAATAATAATAATAATGTTAATAATTGGCCGCAAATATAGTAATAATATCTAATAATATTAATAATTTTAAAAAATACTTAGACTTACTCCCAGAGCTACTCATAGGAACTAAAAACTAATTTATTTTAGTTCTCAAATATGCATATTTTTTATGTTGATTTATTAATTAAATTTTTGCTACAAGGTATTTTTACAAAATTTATTTTATTTTTTTTTATTCTTGAATTTTATAATTGAGGGCCATTTTTTATTTCTTGATTCAATTCTTGCTTATACAGTATTTAAATATTTGAAGATTAAAAAAAATATATATCATTTCCATTACCGAATTTTTCATTGGGGCCATTTTTACCTACCTGTCATATGGGGCCATTTTTACCGGGGCCATTTTTTCCGGGGCCATTCTTACCTACATTCAATAAAACAACTGGGATTGATGATATCCCTGCTAAATTGATAAGGTTATCAATAGATACTATTGTTGGTCCACTAACATATCTTATTAACTTGTCACTTTCAACTGGTACGTGTTTCCAAAAAAATGGAAGAGATAAAAAATTTGTCCGATTTTTAAAGGTGGTGACAAAACAGAACCTAGTAATTACAGACCAATTTCAATACTACCGATCTTGTCAAAAATTCTTGAACGAGCTGTGTTTGACCAAATTTACCCTTTCTTAAATCTAAATAATATGATCTACGAATATCAATCAGGTTTTTGACCAGGTTTTTCCACAACTTCAGGTTTAATCAATGTAACGGAGGATTGGATTAGTGCCATTGATTCTGGAAAATACATTGGATTAGTTATGATAGATTTAAAGAAAGCATTTGACACTGTAAATCATAAAATTCTTATAGACAAACTAAATATATATTCTCTTGATATCTCTGTTATAAAATGGTTTAAACATTATCTTAATATTATCGAACTCAAATCACGAATGTAAATGGTGTTTTGTCAAATCAGTACGACATTGTGTGTGGAATACCCCAAGGTTCAATTCTAGGGCCACTATTATTCATTTTGTATATAAACGACTTACCTAGTCATATTTGTCATGAAAAAGTTAGATGTATGCTGATGACACAGTTCTATATTATGTATCTAAAGATATAGAGGATGTTGTCAACAAAATTAACATTGATCTAGGAAATATTAAAAACTGGTTAGCATGTAACAAATTAAGTTTAAATACGGTAAAAAAGACCGAGTGTATGTTTATTGGCCAGGGCTCGAAATTCCCGCTAGCAAACTAGCAAATTGCTAGTAGGTTTGTCATTATTGCTAGGTAAACATTCACAAACCAGCAAAAAAAAAAAAATGATTGCTAGTTGGAATATCTATACAGAATATCTTGCAATTAGCCTAGTAAGTAAAACAAATTAAGTAGAATAAAATATGAAAAAAAAGTTACAAAAACCAATACAGATTTTAAACGGAAAACCTCATTCCCGCATCGTTCAGCTAAGAGAGGAGAAACAACACACTCGAAAAAGATCGTATAGCGCTGCTAGCTACATCTTTGCTCGTAGTGTGTACACCGCCTCCTCCTGCTGCTAGCGATAGCTTGCAGAGCGAGTCTGGGCAAGCTTGTGCAGTCAACCGTGACATGGTACAATCACATGCGCAAACTGTACGATCAAAGAACGATGTCGTCAAAGGGTCAGCAGAGTTTATTCCAATCATGGAAGAAGTTAAAAAAAAAACCGTAATGCTAGTATTTTATTGTTAAGTAGGACATTATTTTACTTAAAGATAGTTTGCCTAAGCACACATATTACCGATATGTTTTGGCTAATTCGCGTCGCTCGCCGCACACAGCCTAGGCCTAGCTTGTTAGCCAGGTACAAATAATTACAGTACAGGCTGTGCCTCAGTATAGCCTTTCATTTTACTTATGCGCGCCTACGCTGGATCGGGTTTAGGCATAGAGAAAGGGTTTAGGTAAAAAAGAAATTATAGGCGGCATATCGTACACATCGTGATCGACAATATAGTTATCCTTTATGCATAGTATTATTTCATCATCATCGTTATTATATTAAATTTAACTAGCAACTTAAATATTATAAATACTTTCATACTAATAATAATATTAACTAGGCCTATACCACTTGTATGTAACATTGTAGGACTACAATTTTTATGTAATTTCAATTTTATTTTGATATGATAAAGATAATTATGATAGTGAATCAGATATGCTTCACATTGATGATGATGATGATGCTAGTAAAATATAGTTATACTTTTATATTGTAGTTATTATTATTATTATATTTTAGATGATAAAGATAAAGATAATGATGATGAACCGGATGTGGTGCTGCTTCACACAGATGATAGTGGTGCTGCTCATGTGGGTGCAACCAATACAGGTAAATTATTACAAAATACTGTATATTAATATTAATTTTTGTTATTGATTAATTATCATTATTAATATAAACAAAAATGCAGGTTGTAATACATAAATTAATGTAAAATCACATATTCTTCTCTTTGAACCAACAGTTCCCCATTCTGCTTTACCAAAGGCAGGCCCAAGAACTGAACAAGGACGAGACAGCAAGCCACACACTGCTCACCTATCAACTGTCAAAAACTGGATAAAACAAACAGATGCAAATTGGAATTGTTGCAGCTATAGATGAAGCTTTTGCTTCATATGGATTTCGACAAGACGAGTACAGAAAAAAACTTGTTGGGTTTGGAGCTGATGGAGCAGCAGTGAACCTGGGAAAAAGTAGGAGTGTCAGTACACTTATTAAGGAAAGCTCTCCATGGCTCATAGAGATACACTGCATGGCACACAGGCTAGAACTAGCCATTAAAGATGTATTTAAAGGCACATACATGGATGATGTTATTGAGATTCTTACTTCAATACACTATTTTTACAAGTATTCTGCAAAACGTGTAAGAGAAATTACAGAGCTGGCTAATGGCACACGTTGGGTGGCACACAAACTAACAGCCATAACCAAAATTAAACGCAGCTGGAAGGTTGTTGTTCTATACCTTGAACAGTGTGCATCTGACAGAGCCAATAGGGCAGAAGACCGAGCAAAAGCAACTGGCATCAGGAAACAGTTACTGAGTCACAAGTTTGTTCATTATATGCACCTACTACTAGACATACTTACTGAAATCAACAAAGTTTCCCTCCTTTTCCAAAGAGAAGAGATTAGTGTTTCAAGTGCAATATCAAAGCTGAATAGTGTTAATCTGGTGCTTAATTCTATGAAAGAGGAAGATGGTTTTCATTTGCAAGAACTGGCAGTCGAGATGGATGAAGGGATAGAGTACAAAGGGCAAACTTTGCTGAACAGGGTATCTGCTGCTTCATTTCAAAAGCAAAAGAAAGAAATCACTTGCCTCAACAGTCGTTTTAACGACTGTCATTCTAAGCCATTGTTTACTGCTTGCCATGTATTTGATACAAAAGACTGGCCAGAAAATGACCAACTTGTACACTATGGTAATCAGTATATAAATCAACTGTGGAATCATTTCCATGTGGTACTTACCAATGCTGAAGTGGAGATTGAAGAAGCCATTAGCCAGTGGCATGACTTGAAATCCTATATAAGCAGAAACCCCCCACCTGAAAGAAATGTACCCACTTAAAATGTGGCAGAGAATTTCCCAAGAAAATAAACAAAGAAAGGAGTTTTGCCACATTCTAAAGATAGTACATGTGAATGGTTCTTTGCTGTATTGACTTTGAAATAAAATTGCCTAAAATATAATAAAAAGTGTTTTCTCATGTTTATTTCTAGCTCTCAGCTGAGTACTTAATACTGTGTGCCTCTTATTGGAATTTTTCAAAACAGTAATAATGTAAAATTAATATAAAATTAAAAAATAAAAATTCATATATACAAAATAAATATTGAATATATTATATAATTAATTTATTTTAAAAATAAATGAAGTATATAATTTATTATTTAATTCTTATTTTGTATGTGATACTTTAAATTTTTCATATTAAAAATGTTTTGAAACTGCATTGAACAGAATATACAGTACAACAAAGTATGGAAATCAATTGCTTATACTCATTTGGCTATTTCTTTGTGATATTTATTGTACACTCACCATCACAGAAAATGGTATATTACAACATAACACACAAATTTATAGAAACATCAAGTTTTTTTTCAAAAATAATATGTTGGGTTGGTATAAAATAATAATATATTTACTAGTTGACCAACTCATTTTGCTAGCTACAATTTTCACCACTAGCAAATTTTAGCAATAGGTTGCTAATGGTTAAAAAAGTAAATTTCTAGGCCTGTTGGCACACATAAGAAATTGGCAAAATTAACAGATACAGATCTAAATATTAACATTGATGGTGAACATTTAAATAGGGTACAAAGCTGTAAACATCTAGGCGTGTATATTGATGAAAATTTATCTTGGGAGAAACAAACAGATCATGTTAAAAATAAGGTCCTGCCTGGCTCATACTATTTGAAAAAGTCCTGTAACATAATCCCCCAGCACCTTCAAAATATGATGTACAAATCTTTAATAGCCCCACATTTTGATTACTGTAATATTGTGTGTTGTAGAACAAATAAAACTAACAAATTACAAGTTCTTCAAAACCGAGCAGCAGAGATTACGACTCAAGTTCCCAAGCCTTGCAGGATCTTAAATTGGTAAACTTTGAAACAAACCTCTTCTACAATGAGGCTATTATTATGTTTAAAATATTTCATGATTTAGCACCATCATATCTTAGGAACAGATTTACTTTAAGAAATCCACAATACAATACAAGAACAATGAATGTCTTATATACTGAAAAACCTAAAACAGAATACTAAGTTATGGAATAATTTAAATGATGAGTATAGAAATTCAGCAAATATTAATAAATTTAAAGAAATCATTAATCTAATCTAACTTCTGATATTAAATTAATCAATTATGTATATTAAATTAATTAAT